AATTGTATTAAACTCATGGAGGGGTATATAATGACAGAACTAAACAATCAGATTTATTCCAATTTTAAATTCTTTCTCTCTCTCTTTTGCATTCTTTTTTCACATCTTGAAATCAGTCTGCATATCTGTTTAATGTTGTCTTTTGATAATTTGTGAGTAAACATTTCTTAGGATTATTCAGCAGACGTAGAAAGTGCTCATTGGACTATAAACATATTTTGGGACTATTGTGAATTATTCAAAAGAGTTCTTGACAACGCCATTTTGACAACGTCAAGACTGTTGGCGGACCAGTATATTTATGGATCTCAAGTTTATACGGAACTTTTCATTCTTTTTGGACTTTTTTTTAGAACTTTCATATGATTATTTTTTTATTCAATTTATGATACTATAAGTTCCTCTAAAATTTTAATTTTATAACATTGATGATTAAATTGTTTGTTAACTTTTACAAAAAGCGCTGGTTCTTTATGTTAATTAGTTTACGATCATAGAGTCGTTAACACGACGATAAAACAATTTGTCTAGCATAGCGGATATTATTTAGGCAAGGTGATTTTTAGTGGTAGATATCAATATATTGTTTCTGATCAGTAAGTTTTAATTGTGCCTACGTTGGGACATAGATTACACAACACATGAATCCCATGTTTTCGTATTTAAAAAAATCAAGTAAATCCCATACGATAAAATTTTTTACTTGAACTTTTGAAACCAGGAAACAATAAGAAAAAAAGACATTTACATTGTCGACAATGTAAACATTTAAGAAGATAAAGAATCACTGTACACATCAGACAAAACTTTTTTATTTTCTTGCTTTCAAAAAATATTTACGGTATTACTAGTAATGAACAATCTACTATTATTATTTATTCAATTACATTTACTATCGAAAGGGTCTAAGGGTGAAGGTGACCCAGTGGTCTAAAGCGCTTGCCTTTAACGAGCACTGCCATCTCACCTCTGTCCGCGTAAGTTCCATTTCTCGGGCTCGGCAAGTGTGGGTATGTGAGAAAGCATGCCAGCAGCAACCCGTAGGTCAGTGGTTCTTACAGGGGTTCTCACGGGTTCATCTTCCATCAGTTATACTGGCGCCATGTATAGGCTAAATCTTATGCATAAACCTACTCTACTTTTTGATAAACATTACACACTAAGTATATATGCACCTTTCTTTAAATAATACGGTAGATTAAATAAAACACGTCAAGACCATTGCGTGTTACAGCACGCTACAAGGAAGTACTATGCAAAGAGAGACTAGGTAAACATTTACAAAGACGGTAAAAAAGCAGTCTTGTACATTCAGTAGTGTACTGTCATGGCTAGCGGTGGAAAGACAGATATAACTGACACTCAAGGATTACGTTGTCCGATTTGTCTTGATGTCTATACAGCACCAAAGAATGTGCCTTGTCTCCATACATACTGCCAACATTGCCTATATAAATACATTGTGAATAATGTACAAAAGGGGTGGTGGTGTTACTTTCAATTGCCCGGAGTGCAGAAAAGAAACGTTTCCCCCGCTACCTGATATTCCTGTGGATAAGTTGGCTGAACATTATCCATACAACACTGTGTTGCTATCTGTGTTACCATCGGAAAAAAGGAAAGTAGAAAAGAGCTGTGATTCGTGTCTGTATGATGAAACTTGGGTCATAGCTACAAGTTACTGTTTAGTATGTAACGAAGCGCTTTGTGCTGCTTGTGATAAAGTGCATAAGAAAAATAAGGCATTGAGGGCCCATACAGTAGTGAATATACAAGATCTTTTTACAAATTCAGAACTAGCCGTTAACTTGTCAGTGAGCGTCACTTGCCCCGAGCATGTTAATAAAGAGTTTGAGTTCTACTGCAAATCCCACAGCAGCATGTGCTGCTCAGAATGTTTATACAAGTGCCACAGAGGCTGCAATGAGGTTGTTCAGCTAAAGGACCATTCTGAAAGACTACTGAAGGAAAAAGAAGTAAACGGAGTTGTGGACCAATTGAAACAACTTCGGTCACACTTGGATCAATTTAAGAAAGAAAATGAATGGTCATTTAAAGCAACTGAAGCTAAAGTGAAGAATATGTCATATGAAATCGATGTTCTCAGGAAAAAAAATAAACACTTTACTCGAAAACGTTAAAGCCAAAGTCACGATGGAGAGAAACGCTCTCATAAAAGAGGAGTCAATGATCCGACATGAAGAAAATCAACAATGTGAATCCATCAGTTCTGCAATTACAAATTCTCTTTATCTTTTAGAAACAGTTTTGGCACATGGCAATCCTGTTCACGTCTTGACCACTCTGCATAAAACTGAGCAACAACTTGTCCATTATGAATCAACGGTAAAGGAGAAATATTGTGAAGTTAGACACGTTGACGCCAAACTTTGTCTTGATGATCGTCTCTTGTCTTTGGTCAAATGTAGTGAAACCACTATTGCTAACATTGACATTGTTGAACAGAAACATAGACTTACACCTCCTCTTTTGCCTCTTTCTATAGAGACAACTGTGAAGACAACAGCAATAAAACATAACATATTTCAAGGAAAGAAAAAGAACTGTAGAAGCTTATAAGCCACCAGAAAAATATCGAAGCTCTAAGCCACTGAAAGACCGCAAACTGGATAGAACTGGAGAGTTTAATACAGACACTCTCGATGGCAAGCTCCCCAGGTATACTGGTATAACCTGTTTACCAGATGATAAAATCATGCTTGTGGATTCTGAAAATTCTACTGGTGTACTTTGTAACTCATTATATGAGCAACTTGATGTCCACAAACTGATTTCATGGCCAAGAGAGGTGTGTGTGTGTGTGTGTGTGTGTGTGTGTGTGTGTAGTGGACAGATAGCAGTGACACTTCCTCTTCAGAAAAATATCCAACTTCTGACCGTAGATAGCTCCATACAAGCGGAGAGGAGAATCAACACGAACCTGAGTTGTAGTGGAATAGCCGCCCTGTCTAGAGATCACCTTGTGGTAAGCGGCAGGAGGAACGATAGTCTCTACTGGTGTATTGTATCTATGGAAGGATACGAGAAAACCTCTGTTAAAGTTTGTCCTTCAACATATTATTCTCATTTGGCAGTGAATAATGAGAAGACATGCGTTTACGTCTCATGTTACAGATATTCGGCTGCAATCTACGGGTACAGTGTAGACGGCACTCTGATATTTAAATATGAGCATCCGGATCTGGATGGTGCAGCAGGGGTAGCAGTGGACAAGGAAGACAATCTATATGTTGTAGGTGAGCACTCGGATAACATCCATCAGTAGTCTCCAGATGGGAAAACTCTACAAGTTTTCCCCATTAAATTCCGAAGACCTGTAATAGCTGTCTCGTTCACTTCCAGTGGTGAAGAATTTCTCCTGGCAGGAAGCACAAGCATAGTGGAAATATTTAAATTGAAATAGTGATAATTCTTACACACACACACACACACACACACACACACACACACACACACACACACACACACATTAATATTCTTTGTTGGGACCCTGGATGGTCTAGTGGTCTGAAATACAAGCATAGTGAAAATATTTAAATTGAAATAGTGATAATTCACACACACACACACACACACACACACACACACACACACACATACACACACACATTAATATTCTTTGTTGGGACCCTGGATGGTCTAGTGGTCTGAAGCGCTAGCCTTTAACTATCACCGTCATCTCCCCCTGATCAATGAGGGCATGTTAGAAATCTGCTTATAGCTTACCGTGAGTCGGTGGATCTTGCCTGGATATGCCTTGGTTCTTCCACAACCATTTATACTGGCCGCATTGTATCATATGCAGAGAATTGGCCTTAAAACCAAAACATTATTATTCGTTGTATTTCCTCCTGTTGATATTAAACATATTACAGGATGAAGATACGCGCTCTTTGTGGTTTTATAAAATAGTTGTAATAGTTCAATTCTATCTAACTTTTTGATGTTAATTCATTAGCAAAGGTACCATAGTTCACTGCTTTAAGGGACATGCTTTTATAGCAAGTACATTTTAAAACAAGCTAGATACGACTGGTTTAAATTCTATAAAAGCAGTGTGAGTAAACCCTCGAAATTATTTCAAATCCAGCATGCCTCGAAATTAACTGCAGGCTGCAAGCACCGGTCAACCTGAAAACGTAGCCAGTGTCAATACTAATATTTTTTAATTGTTGTAACTTCGAGTATTAGATCAGACAATTAGATACAAATTTATTGTGGTGACGGAAGCTCCTTTCCATTAATCGATGGGAGAGATAAAGGTGAAAGTTTACATCAAAATTTCGTAAATCTTATAACTTATTTTCATATCGAGAAAGGGTCTCAAACAAGCGGCCCGCCAAGCAATATCATGTGGCCCGCAAAATGATCGGCGTCATGAGAGATTACAATGGTGGTGCGGCCCTTGGACCATCTAAATTGCCTTCCTGCTGCCTCGGAGTGTTTTGAGTTTGAGACAAATGATATAGAGCATTTAATAAAAAAAACACCACGAGTTTGTTTACAGCTCATAGTTTCCGATAGTGACACATGAAATTTAACACGTTTTGCGCATATTACTGAATATTGTAAGATCGCAATAATTCACCAATATTCTAAGTAATTTTGATGCAATTATATTTTTATTTCATTGTTGAAAATGCGAGTACAGTGCCTTGTGCTAGATCCATTCTATATTAGCACAGCACTCTCTCTCCACTTAATCCGTTAAAGAAAATGTCATGTTGAAACTCTTATGCTATGAATTACATACCAAGGATCTTACGAAAAGTCGCCAATAGAAATAGTCTTTTGGCATGGGGTGCGAGTTTTTGCTCAACCCCCACTTTCCAACTAATATGTTTTTCAGGCTAAAACGTCAATTGTTCATAATCTTAGGCATTACCAATCACCACTTCTCATCACGGTATTCTTGTTGAAAAGCAAACCTTAGACCCACCTATGGACTCGACTCGGGTCTCTTTGCGGCAGAACGCTCCGGTGCTCTAGTATAGTTAGAGCGTCCACCTCGGATGCGGGAGGTCGCGGGTTCGAACCCCGGCTGAGTCATACCAACAACTTCTAAAAATGGTACTAACAGCTGCCTCGCTAGGCGCTCATCATTTAGTGGTTGGTGTTAGGAGTGGTCGGTCTAGTGTCAGGATAATTTAACTGGGCATGATACCCCAGTGCTAGACATCACTATAAACTCTGCCATAATGCAGACATCGTAGTGATACGACTGAAAAAATTTGTTAAAGCTACGTTAAAAATCCAAATCTCTCTCTCTCTCTCTCTCTCTCTCTCTCTCTCTCTCTCTCTCTCTCTCTCTCTCTCTCTCTCTCTCTCTCTCTCTCTCTCTCTCTCTGTGCGACAAAAGTTTCTACAAAAAAATAAACAAACAAATAATCACGTCATCCGTGATTGTTCCTTTTGTAATGCAACGGAATCGTAATTCGATATTCCCCAGTTCAACACCCGCCCAGGTCAGCCTGGATCTGCTGCCTAGGCAATTATATGGGAAAGGTATTTATCAACCTTTACCTCGTTATGATATAGCCTGTAATGTGTTAATAGCCACGTGACAATAAACCAACCAACCAATTTAGCACAATGAAAGAGCAATGTTTTCGTGGTTTTAGAAGATAGGATAAAATATTGTTTAACTAGCACCTGATTTGTTGCACTATAATTATAGTTTTCAAAATAGTGTTTATTAGTCAGAACGTAATGGCTTAAGCATTTGTATATGTAATTACGGGATATTATATATAATTACCTGATAGCATATCTTATGTAATTACTGGATATCATACGTAAGTACCGAGCAGCATATACAAGTACTGATATCATAATTTTGAAAGACATGTCTGTTATTATTTCATTTGAAAATTAAAATCATTATCGAACTAAACTGGGACTGATATAAGAGGCCTAAACCCAATGATAGCTCAAAAAACGTCACTGCAGCCATCATGTGCTTGTTGTCGTCCTTGAAGCAAGTGATAATAACTATTGCCATTGCAGAATTTTTTTTTACTTTGCTCTTCTCGTTTATTTTCTTGTTTGTCTTATTGCCGACGATTTGTACGCTGAATTTGACTTTTCCGAGTTATTATTAGGATTACTGTTTTAAGTCAATTGGTCAAAAGTAAAACAAACTTGTATTTTAGGTGCATATTTAAGCAGGTGTGGAAATTAGCTTCAATAGGATTTAGTTATTGTTTAATGCAATTGCAATTAGTGTTTAAGGTAATTATGTATTAACATGTTATTACGTAATAAAAATATTCAAAAGGTAGGTGTGATGCATACTTTTGGTTCTTTGAGTTAAATATTGCAGTTAGAGGGCCTCGGTTGGCAAAGATCTCACCTTTGCCGATTACAGAGCTGTCCACATGGGTTCGAGTCTCCGGTTAGATCAATGTGAGAATGTGAAAATGCTTTCAGTTATCTTCCCGTTGTTCGGTGATTCTTGTTGGGGTTTTCGCCGCTTCTTCCTCCATTACTTACGCTGGCCGCCATGTACATCACACTTGCGCTGAGAAATGGAGTCAAAGCACCAAAACTACAGATAGTTCCTTTACAATATTCTAATTACGAATTCCTTTTATCAGTCTATGTGTGGCTGAGATTAGCTTGCCTGATTCGCAAGAAGAGAGGTGCAGATTTAAATCTTGCCCAGACCAGATAGGGCCAGGCGCCAATGAGTGTGTCCCAATACAAGGCATTTTATCTGATTGCTTCGGCAAGATCTAATCTATCATATGCTAATATGCGATGAAACACACACACACACACACACACACACACACACACACACACACACACACACACACACACACTCTCTCTCTCACACACACATACACCTATTGTGGTTACTTGTTTTGACTTTTGTTTTGGCGCAAATAGTATAATACAAATTACAACTCTGAAAAAAAACGATAAGACAACTAGTGAATCAGATTGTCTTTTATCGCCATGATTGGAATTAAGAGAACGTGCAGCCAAAGTATTATCACTGTGAGCAATACTTAATGATTAATCCAAACTAGGAGCAAAAGTGACGTCATTAAAAGCCTGACCAAAAAGGTTACAGCTAAAGGAATAACATCATTCCCAAGAGCATGCTTTGCAAAAGCTCTACCAACTATGCAAGCTGGAAATAACCAATGGATTTCTACTTCAATACGATCAACTCTTTGACCCATACAAGGCTTGCTATTTATAGGTGGATTAACCACTACCTTATATCCAGATAAATCTTCACTAGCCAAGGTTCTGTTAACCCTATTAACACATTGGCGGATTGTACAGCTATTACATAAATTTGTAAGTTGTATATCAAAAGTATGACTATGTACCAGAGAGAAACTATTGCATGTGTATTTGAAGAAAAGAATGTATTTGTACAAACAAAAAACCGGCAGTGAAAAATTACTTGTTTATGAGTCCTTTCCAGTTGTGTTCTCCACTTGTCTTTATATTGTAGGAACAGTGTTCAAATTTGAACAACTTGATTTTGATTGGATGTGTTGGTTTGCTGCCCCATCAGGTTAAATTCACAGACTCGAAGCACTGAAATATCTGAACATTCTGCCAAGGAGTAGATAGGTTTAAGACATCGGAACCTTGGATAGCGAACATACTCCAGCTTGGTAATTACTGAGTAACAAGTGAACACCCAGAATAGGCGAAGAAGACACAGCTCTTATAGTCACTAGCTCCAATTCTAAGGCTGATGACAAATTTGTAACACAACGGAGAGGAACATAAACTCCACTCTACTCCCAGTATCAGAACACTTAATTCGAAAAAAATTCTCAGAAAAAGGGCAAAGTACTTAATAACAAAAGACCTTGAGCAGCTCCTGTGTCTCACAATATCTTAATAGAAGTATCCTTATTTAAATCACAAGTGATACTGAACCCTTCGATGAATGGTTGGTAATTTTCCATAACAAAATTTGGACTTGGGTATGCAAAAGCCAACAACTCTTATCTCTTTCAATAAATGACCACGACCTTGACCTATCAGAAACAAGTGCATTTGGGACATCTCTGATATCATAATGTTGCTTATTGTTCACCCTATAGCAATCAGAAAAATTGTCTCCTTTCATCTTGCGATAAGTGCACGTGGGAAGATATAAGTTTCTGATCTATTTTATCAGAAATTTGACAGTTGTACCAGTTTGAGACTTGTTAAGTACTCAAATAAGACTAGAATACTTTTTGTTTTAAAATAATAAAAACCCGCTCGAGTTTTGTACAAACAGGACCTTGTGATTCAAAGAAAGAGCTGCCTTCTCTAACGTTTCGACCCTTTTTAATCAATGTACTGACACAATTGTTGAACTCGTCAATCAATATGGTTGCTTAAGATTAACATAATCTTTGTCAACCTTCTTGGCTGTACAAAATGTATTATTCTTTTCTCCCATGCAAGTTAAAGAAGAGTCAGTATAGTTTGCTTTCTACAATTTCCACAGCTTTGACAATAAGGCTTGGGCACCATCTCATAAACGCATAAAACACACAAGACGTTCTTTGACCACATCATAATAAGTAGTTTCATCAGTCAAGAGTAAAATGTATACATTACTAGCTTTACCAGTAAATAATTTTTTTTTATTGTAATAACAAAGTCTCTCTCTCTCTCTCTCTCTCTCTCTCTCTCTCTCTCTCTCTCTCTCTCTCTCTCTCTCTCTCTCTCTCTCTCTCTCTCTCTCTCTACCTTTCCATTCATTTCTTTCTTGCCTATCTTGGTCATTTTCCAAAATCTGTGTGCATATCTGGCGGAAGCTGAAGTCTTCCAGCAGAAAATCACATCTTTATGAAACCATAAACACTTTTATCAAAAATAGATATAATTAAAAAGTAACCAAGGGGGTCAGCTTTCTTCTAAGAATAATAAGAGCTACAACTCTTACAAAATAAACCAATCACTGATAACTATGCCATTTGTTTCTGATTCCAATGTTTTCTACACATTAAGCTCCACCCACTTCCCATAAGTAACCAGCTCCTTCAATGCAACATGAACATGATGGTAGCAGTGTGCTTCAGCTTCTTTGTGTGAATAAATGCATTCAAAAGTTGATGTTCACCTTTGTTTTTCAAACTTACTTTAAAAATGACCAAATGCTATGAGAACACAAAAGTCATTCAAATTTTAAAATATATCTGCATGATGACCATAAACAAAGGTTTCTTATGAGAAATGATAGTATGCTACTGCCCCTTATGTGACAAGTGCTATAGTAGCTATGGATACTAGGGTATGTCTGATCTCTGAAAAGTTTACCTGAGTTAAAAAATGAATAAATTAAATCCTCAGTTGATATTTTATTATAATTATCAACAACAAACAATATATTCTATTTTTCCCATATGAACAATATTCAATAATTTCAATACATGGAAACATTATCTATGATTCATCTATGACAAAACCTTCAATTATACTGATTTTATACTGTCCAAGAAGAATTTCTAGGGATTCAAGAAAAAAACCTTCCCACAAAACAACCTTTTTTCTTGATAACTACTCAGTACTTAAACCATCTCTGATATTCTTGAGTGACAAGATTTTCAAATTTGCTGCTGTGGCAGCCATGTCAGAGGTAATATCAATAAATGTACCATTTTCATTTACGAGAAACTAAACACCATTAAATGAATTCTGTTGAAAAAAATCATGATAATATGAACATATATTCAAGAGAAATAGTGACAAGGTTTACGATATGTTAAATTTTAGCAGCCGTATTTGGGTCAGATCAGCACCATTTTTATTCAGGATCAACTATATATTATGTAGACTTCTACTGGAAACCTCATGTCATTGTGATTTTCCATTTAAGTGGTGTAGCAATAACAATATTTTCAAGATTACCTTCATCTGCTACCATCTTGATATATATAAAGAAGTCTTCTGTTGAACCCAATGTTAATATGACTTTTCGTGAAGGAGTAGATTTTTTTAAGATGACTGCTTTGGTGTTCACAGTCAGATAAATGCAATATTAGTTTAGGACTTGTCAGACATTATAAGAAGTCTTTTAGTGC